AGCTACAACCTTTCTTCTCAGTTCCTCAATCGTAACCTGGTTTTCAATGAGATAGCAAGAGATTATTGTTTTGCCAGCTAATAAAATCAGACTTCTAAAAATCATGATCATGAGATATAATATATCACCTTTCTTCTGTTGAAGCAATCGTAGATTGCTGGAGTTGGATCATCCTTGAACAAAACCCTAAGAGGCCTCGAGTTGTCAATGTGAGATGTTGTAAAAGTGCGTACAATCATCTCATAAGCTTCTTCTTCTTTCTTCCTCTCTGAATCAGACAATTTATAGTATTTCGCATCATTTAGTTATAGGCGTATAATGGAGATCAATACGACACATGCTTAATTATTATATTTAAATAGCTAGGACTCACCAATGAATTCATAACAGCGTTTTATTATGTCCGCAAGATGCCCTTTGATGTTGTTGAGCTTATGGGAAAGGGATGATAGCTCCCATGTTTCGGTTAAGTAACTGAAAAGACAAGTCAATAGTTAGTAAATTATTTACTAGTAAAATTCAAGAACTGATAAGGTATATACGTACTCAATGCCCATGCCAGTGAGGGCCAAGATTTGTGTAGCGGCGACCACAATGCTCCGGATGCTCCAGTAAACAGCGGTCGGGATGTGTTGAATGGCGGCTAAAATTTCAGGGGATTCGGCAGTGAAGTAGACTCGAGGAATGTCATAGAACTCCACAATTTTCTTGGTCACATCAGTTATTTCGTTGATGAGAGAGTAGAGTTCATTGAGCTTCGGTCTCAGGTCCGCGGCGTGCTCCAATATCTCCGGCAGTTGCTTGAGGAGAGCGATGGACTTCGCGAGTGGGCTGGTGGAGTAAAGCTGAAGGACAATCCGAAACTCACCAAAGGTCACTGCAAATGAAGTCAAGGCCAACACCGCCTTTGATTCCCAGCTGTAGTGTTTGATCAAACGCAATATGTCCATTACTATTGTGTGCACATCCACTCCAGTCGAGCACTTGCTGAATATCTGTTACATTTAGATCGAATATTAAGAGTCAATGAATAGTGCTAAGGACTTAATCTGGGGGTGAAGATCAAATAAATATCATTTGATAAATTAATATTTGCTTGTTTGGGAGCGCTTTCAGTATGGTTTTCGTTTGAGTATGGAAATGAAAAGGAAAATCTCTTGGGTATTCATGTGTTGGACCCGTTTTAATATCATGTGTTTAGCCATTTTTTTTTATAGAGATTGTTTTTAGTGCCAACAAAATCTTTTTATGTCTAGCATTTAAAAAACAAATATCTGTGACTAGTCAGGTTTTTGTTTTTAAATGTGGTGATAAAATTGGATGCGACACAAGTTTTTAATTTTTTTTTCCTTATTTTTTTCACACTGAAACTCGTTGTCGCTGTATTAAGATCACAACTGACAAGACTTTTCTGTGACTAATTCGCGAAAGTTTTCTCTTTCGGTCACAACCTTTTTCTTTAGTGATATTTATAGCGCCATGTCGTTTGTAATATTACCTCACAGGAAATTGCACTGGTAATCCTGGATGGAATTTCCACAAAGTCCTGGAGGCTACCTGCGGAATACAGGACCTTCTCATCTGCAGTATTATCTCTTTCCTGTAACCCAAGAGCAGTAAACATCATCATATTAGTTAAGTATATATAATCATGTACATATATGTATAAATATATTATAAGTGGATGAACAATAACTAGTT